TATATATATATATATACGATATATATGTATGTACTTGCAGGCAGTGCTAAATTGTGATAAGAGAACCCCATATGTTTAACCGAATGCACGCGCTCTAAACAGCAGCAGGCACTGGTGGCAGCAGCCAACGGCTCTTGAATGCAGGAGAAATGCAAACAAAACAAAAATCGTCTGCAAAATTCAGTTGGGCGAGCGAAAAGTGCAGCAGGAATTGCAAGCAAACTTTACAACGTTGCAGCAAGCACAGTTTTAATCGCTCCAACTCTGTAAGGGTGTGTGCGAGTGTGTGTGTATGTATGGAGTATGCTCGAGCTTGAATGGGAAATGGCAAATGGAGGAAAGTATTCGATAGCCCAGTTAATAAACAGTTTGTAGGTCATATTTACTAAAGCACTGAGCATTTAAGGCAGTTTTAGCGCAAATCATGTTGCAAAAATTGAGCATCGACTAGCTTTATTTAAAGTACTAATCGATTTCTGCTTACTATGCAGCAATCAGCCCTCTAACAGATGAGATGAAAGATGAGATGCTTAACTGCTGCAATCAAAAGCTATTATATAAAAGGGCATTTAGCAGTCATTGCTTAGTTTGAAGCCAATCGAAATGATTTCACATTTGGACTATTTCGAGGATTCGCAGAGCCAACGCACATATTTAAGCCCCGAATCGATTCACTGAGCCAAGAATGTTAACCACTTGACCGTAGCTGGACTGCAGCTGCTGCAGGCAGCAAATAAAACCAACATTTTATTTCCAGCTGCACGAAAATAAATGCATTCGCCTGGAATTGTAGTAGCTGTACACGCATATCCTGTAAATAAAATGTCCACCCCAAAAAGGAATGAGGGAGCAGGAGGAGGCAGTGAGCGGTAGTGTAGTGTGAGGGAGTGCGAGAGCGAGAGAGTTACTACTAGTCTTAGTCAGATGTTGCTGACTGCCAAAGTGATTGTAAAAATGCAAAGCTAACGAACTGAAACAGAACGCGACGTCGAGTCGTCGACAACTGACATGTCATGTCCGTCCGCCCCTCCGCCAGTCTGTCAGTCAGTTAGTCAGCAAGCCCGTTTCCCTAGTCACAATCCTAGTTGCTGCTGCTGCTGCTGCTGCTGCTGCTGCTGCTGCTGCTGCTCCTGCGAATGTAGTACAACACATGTATGTCCAATTGAGCCCTGGCTGCTCCTTGGCTACCATCAAGGCAGTGTGAAGTGAGCGTTGCATTCGCGTTGCATAAACACAATAAATGTGAAAACTGAAAACTGAAAACCGAAACTGAGTTTACACCACTCCTCTATTTTTTATACCCTGAACCCATTGAAAATGGGAAATCAGGGTATAATGGTTTTGTGAAAAAGTATGTAACGGGCAGAAGGGGGCGTGGCAGACCCCACAAAGTATATATATTCTTGATCAGCGTGACGAGCTGAGTCGATATAGCCCTGTCCGTCTGTCCGTCCGTCCGTCCGTCCGTCCGTCCGTCCGTCCGTCCGTATGAGTGCGTCGATCTCAGAAGTTATAAGAGCTAGAGAGCTGAAATTTGGCATGCATACTCGTGTGTACCATACGCAGTACGAGTTTGCTTTATTTTTTCGATAAATCGTCCGATAACTTTTTTATCGAGAATAATCGAAAAATTGATTTTGTTTTTTTAGCCTAATTTGAACATTTTTAGACCTGGAGTCTTCAAATTTGNCTTTGGAATGTACACACATTTTAACCATATGATTACACTCTGAAAGTTTCATTAAGATCATATGTTTACAAAAGAAATTATTCGACAAATAAATTCTCATAATATTGCCCACACTGCAGCGCAGCCCAAGCGCAGTCGCTGCTTACTGCGCAGTTAGCAGAGCGCTTATGCGTGCGTGTGGATGCATCTGTATGTATGTGTACATAAAAGAAGTGCAGAATGATTAGAATATCAGCTTAGAGGGTTCAGGGTATCTCCTAGTCGAGCAGTCTCGACTAGAGTCTTCTTACTTGTTTTTTTCTTTCTTCCTTGATTTTCCACTCACCTTTGTTGTCTCACCTGGTTCTGTCTCTGCTGCTTGCTTCTAACATTTGCTACTTTACATTTTTACCGTGTCGATGTGTGAATGCCTTTCATTCGCAATTTTCAATTTCCACCTTCGAAATGTGTAAACTTCAATTTACACTGAGCTGCCGCATTGCATTGAGCTAACGGGGGAGCCGAGAACCAAAATTGCATTCGATTTGTAAAGCCTTTGACATTTTCCTAGCATGCGCTGTCCACGGAGCATTTGGATTTTCTAGCTCAACTTGAATATGAGAAACTGAAAAGAGATTCGAATGAGAATTGTGCTGAAGCAGGGCTAAAAAAGAAATTCGATTTCGATTGGCAAATAAGAAAAAGAAGCTTTAATAATATTCTCATATACAATTTAGGAGAAAGATCTAGCAGTTTTATTAAATTTTGTTCATGACATAAGTAATTTAATTAAATATGATGATGCTTCTATCCCAACTCAAATCATACCTTAAAATATAGATAATTTCAGTTTCATATCGAGCAGTTGTTATTCCTCGAATTCAATTCTCAATTCAGCGTAGTTCACTTTCAATCAGTTATTCCATCTGAAGTTCCGTAAGTGCATTTCAAGTTTCGCTTGTGGAAATTGGGTAGATTTTGATGCCCTTGCGTTTGGTTTATTGCGTCAAGTGGCATTTGGTTGGGATTTTCATTTTGAAATGTGTTGGAGCATTCGTTTCTCTCCATTGCCTTGAATCGCATCCGACACACCGGCCATATATTATACATTACGTTTTGGGGCCATGGTCGATTCTTGTTGCTAGCAACGGTCACAGACAATTACATGCCGGACCAGCATCCAGCTTCCTTTCCAGAGTCCTTTGCCCTGACAATCGCTACAAAAATTGAACTTCAGCTCACGTGGCGCATTTTAGTGCCTTTGGTAGCATTTCTCCTTTGACTGCCACAACAGCAACAGCAACAATAACAACGGCAGTTGCTGCTGCTGCTGCTGCCGCAGTAAGGGTCTTGGCTGAATATTTGTTTATTTGCTCCATATTTTAGGGTTTTACGGCAACGACGACATCAAGCAGCTATTGTGGCAGGTATTTGCTGGCCTGGCTCCCATAACAATAGCCAAGCAGCAACAGCAACAGCAGCAGCAGAAGGCATGGCAGCAGCAACAGCTACAACAGAGAAAGGCAGGGCCATAAGTGCGTCCTTTTGATTTTACGCAGCTTATTTACGTATTGCCTGAAAACTTGCAAGCAGCATTCTAGCAGTCCGTATCCTGTGACGTGTGCCCCATTGGTCCCACTTTGGCGTCCCTTTGTGGCAAATTTATTGACTCGCTTACCTTGTTTGTGGCATTTGAAATGTTATTACAATGCTTGATTTGAATGCAGCGACAAATTATTGAATCGCTTACCGTGCCATGTATGTAAGTATGTGCCATGGGTAGCTCTTTGATTCAAAACAAGCAATTCAATATAACTAGGCGCACTTCTAATCAAATTGCCTAAACAAATTGTTTACCATGTTGAGCTCGATTGGCAGCTCGATTGAGTTTGGCAGTAATCGACAATCGAAAATTGGTAGTTTCCAACACTATTTTGGGCAGTCACCAACACGGCTGGATCATCGATGACGTGTACTTTGGCCGTCGCCGGGCTATAAAAGGCCGGCTTTCTGGCAGTGGAATTCAGTTGTCTCCCAGTGCTCTGCTGGTTCTAATAACTGGCTAGTGTGGAGCAACTCAAATTTTTTTTTCGGTTGAGTTTTTTTTTTTTTTTTTTTTGTTGGAATCTAACATATGAGCAGTTGCTTGAAATAGAGCAACTGACACCGCAAGTCAGTTTCTAACTGATTTTGCTTGCACAATCTCCGGATTGATGTAGTGTCGCTCAGTACAAATGCCCAAATTCGGTTCTACCGATAGCATTATCTACAAATATTACGTGAGCTGTTGCTGGAAATAGAGAGCAACTGGCACCGCAAGTCAGATTTTAACTGATTTTGCTTGCACAATCTTCGGATTGATGTAGTGTCGCTCAGTACAAATGCCCAAATTCGGTTCTACCGATAGCATTATCTACAAATATTACGTGAGCTGTTGCTGGAAATAGAGAGCAACTGGCACCGCAAGTCAGATTTTAACTGATTTTGCTTGCACAATCTTCGGATTGATGTAGTGTCGCTCAGTACAAATGCCCAAATTCGGTTCTACCTATGGCGTTGTCGTCTGCTGCAGAGAGCGTGGAACTAAGTTGACGCTTAAAATTATAAGTCGGCGGCCAAAAAATATATCAAAGATTCCAATTAGACTGGGTCACCCAGCACATTGGTAGTTGAAAAGGTCGTGTTGTTGCGTCGTGTTGGAGGTCTTATGTATTTACGGAGTCGTTTTCTTTTATGCACCACTTGAATTTTGTATCATCTATTTTCTTTTTTTTTTTTCAAATAATTTGTTCACAAGCTGCTAGTGCTTATCGTTTGGCGAGGACTGAAATGCTGACAGCATGCGTTGAGCCATGGTTTCTCGGAGAGTTTGACTTGGATTTTTTGCGCACGGGTTTTCGTATTAGTGTTTCAGTAGGAGTGTTTTTATGTATGACTGTATCTTTTCTTCGAGTAAAATTTTAATTGACTTATTGAATTTCCCATTTTGGAGTGTAAGATGTATATTTTTTTTCTTTTTCTTTGCCCTTGGTTATTCTAGGCTGTGATAGACTTACCTCTTCAGTCAGTTTCGCCTGAGGCTGCGTCCGTCGACTGACTTGATTAATGTGTAGGTCTCTAGTGTGAGTGATAAGCAGTTTCTGAGCATGTAGTGAATTTAAAACGATATAGACTGGGGGACAAAAATAGTCCAACTGTTTTAACCTGGCTATCCTTAGATTCTTTATTCGGCAATTTAGCTGATTTGGAAGCATTTTCATTAATGACACTTGATAAGGATTCGTCGTCATAGTCTCATCATCGGAAGACTATCAATGCTGTCAATCACCCGATCTAGTTTTGGTCTTCCTGCGCTTCTTGGCCGAACGTTTAGTAGAGGAGGAGAGGCTCACAGATTTTTGTATTAGTGTATCAAGGAGGAGAGGAGGGTTTATGTATAAACAAAAAAAAAAAATTTTTTTTCTTTGATCCGGCTTCGTATCGCCTAACATTCGTGCGAACGGGTCGGTTTGACAATTCGCAAAGAAACTGGTCCATGTTGTCGCTGGAAGTTTTTGGGCACGTTGAGCAGCATTCGTCTCTGTAAAATATACTCTCTGACCGTTCTCTAGATGGTTGAATTATCTATAATAGTTTATGGGTTTGCTTTGTGATGTATATTTTTATTTTTGCCATCGCCTTGGACTGCGCTTTTAGATAAGGTATTATTTCATCGGAGATGATGTATTTTTTAAAAATCGATCATATTTATATCTGGGATGGTATCCGGTGTATTTTCTGATATCTTTTCTCGTAATTCCGGCATTTTTGTGCATCTTCAAGTTGGGCAGCAAATCAATAGCAGAGCAGCTTGGTAAGATGTAGATTCAGGCTTTTCTTGCGTAATTTGTTATCCTGCAAAGCCTGTTAATTGATTCTTTAACTCTTCGCAGACATCATCGATGCCCACAAGAACCAGCAGCTATGCTCGCTGACCGGCGTCGAGGGCGGCCACTCGCTGGGTGGTTCGCTGGCTGTGCTGCGTACCCTGTACGCCATTGGAGTGAGGTATATGACGCTGACATCCACATGCCATACACCGTGGGCCGATTCGAGCTACGCGGACGCGCCAACCTTCAACATGAAGCACGGCGGACTCACTATATTTGGCAAGGTAAGTGCCGGCCATCATAGCCCTTATTGTCTGTCCTCTCTTATAGCTGATTTAATGCTAATTAGTCGAGGAAGGTTCAGCGTGTTCAGCTCACTTTAGTTCGGTTTTGGGGCAATTCTCTCGTGTGGCTTTTAGGCGGATTTTGCGGCGCCAAGGATGAAGCGTGCTTCTCAGTCCTTGCAGCCTGCGGTCAGCCACAGTCGACGCTTTTGTTGGCTTAGTCATAAATGTCTATGTGTGTGTGTTCGCGCTCGCTCGCTCGCGTGTGGTGCGTGGGGTGGCATATTTAAGTGGCTGAGCTGCGTGCCGGCGCCATTTTGGGGGCGCCACGGCTTGTGCCCCTAATGGGTCAACAGCTCTCAAATTAGGTGGCTACAGCAATTTGCAAGAGCCGCGCGGCTTTACGCCGGATTATCGTCGGGCTGAAGGTACGCAAATATCTTAAATTAACTACGGCCCGCCAGCCACAGCGCAGGCTGTGCCTCTTCAATACCTGTCGAGCGGCTCGTTATATCCAGGCAGCTTATGATAAGCTCTATAGGCTGCAAGTATGAATGTGGTAAAAATTGGAAGCAACTTGAGAAAAGCAAAAATGATCAGTGTTTTATCATATGAAAAAGTCCATTTAGTGTTGGGGTTTATTGTTTTAGTCTTAGTTTTGGTAGTGGATTATTGTCTTCATTTAATACGTATTTAAATTTAAAACTTGACTATTTCGTAAAACTCCTTCAGCGAGCCGAATTGTATTGCTTGATCTGCTGTCACTACTTGACATTGATCGTCTATCATCAAGCTAATTAAACTGTATAAGTTAGGAGTTTGCATATAAAAATGTAGGCTAAAGTAATATGGTATGGCTGGGATGATAGTGTTTTACCATATGAGATCGTCTAATTAGTTGGGGTTTATTGTTGTAGCCTTGGTAGAGGATTAATTTCTAAATTAAATATTTCTTGTGTCTCGTATATGCGTTTAATGCTGATGCTTTTGATGTGTACGTCCGCTGAGTGCAGCGGGAACGGTAATCGCTAGATCGTTATTTTGGTTTTTCAATTTTTTAGTCGCTTGATTTGCCAGGGCAGGGCGTACTGTGTACGGAACGATTTGTTTACATATAAAAATTCTTTGACATATGCTCGTGTAATTATTTCGAAATTCGAAATTACCTCGAGTAGCGCCAGCCGCCAACCACTTCAGCAGCAAACAGCCGTCACAACATTCTTGGCGTGATGATGATCAAACATCATAATGATCATTTGCTATTTGCTTTAGTTGTTGCTGCTGTTTGCTCTTCATAGCGTGTGTGTCGGGGGCCACGACACTGCGCTTCCTCTTTGGCTGTGGGCTATTGCCAAGAACTATTTAGAGGCAGTGCATACGGAAATTAAATGTATGAGCGTGAAAATGGGGGGAGGAAAATGCACAGCTATAACAATAGCAGCACAATAAATTCCCAGAGGCCGAAACCTACCTACACGTCAAATTATAGCAGGAAACGTTTATTACGTTTACTGCAGTCATTAAAAGTCGGGATATATCTGCTAGCATCAGGCAATATAAATCATAATTTTGTTTGGCATTGCCCTGCCAATTAAATATGGAAATTAAAATTTTTGGCTATAATCAAAAACAAAAACAAAATCAACAAAAATCAACGTCACTTCCTCATTTAAATAACGGAATTTTCAATTACACATCGCAGAGAAAAAGAAAAAACAATAGGCGAAAATGAAATACGTAATGAAAAGTGAAAATCCTCCAAAGCGCATGCGCCATGAGCACCTAAAGCTAAGAGAGAGCCGGAGAGAACGAGAGCAGCCGCCAGCTGCTGTATCGGGCGAAATCGTTTCTATGTGGTAAATGGAAATTTTTCGCCTCGACGAAATGAGCGGCAATGGGAAAACAGAAATTTTCATTCATACTATAAGGTGAATTGCACAGTGTGTGACGGACAGCCAGCTGGTTCAAGAAAGGAGTGGAAGCAACTATGGATAATACGTATAATTAGATATTGTATAATAAGAAATATAAAAAAAATTGAAATAAATTAAACTGAACTTGTCTAGGCGATTATGTAAATAATATTAATTTTATATATAAAAATTGTGAATTATAATTGGATGAAAATAATACGAACATTATAATATACTTCATTTCTGAGTTAAATTGGAAATTAAAGGTCATAAATTGTTTTTGCATTTTTTTAGGAAAAAAAAAATTATATAAGAATTAGAATTCATTTTAAAATATTTGTTTTAATTATAATTTATAAATGTAAATCAAAATTAATCAAAATAAAATATGATTTCAAAAAATTTAATAGCAAAGTTTTTATTTGTTTGGTATTTTAGTTTATTATTTTTTTTATTTATTTATATTTTTTATTTTTTCATTCCTTAGAACAGCCTCTTTATTTTTTACAGACACCTTGATTTAAAATTTTGTATCTAATAATCCTTTTTTCTAGGCATCAAAATAATTAGCAGTTGGTTTTGCACCACTGTTTGCTCTTAAAATTCCGTTCCACCCGCATAGCTAAAAATACCCGTCACGCACCCACGAAGCGCCAGTCACATGTGCCATGGTGAAAATGTTGCCAGGCTGTCATTCTCTCTCACTCTGCCTCTCGCGCTCTCTTGCTCTCTCACACGTTGGGGCCGTTTGTTCGTTCGCTCGTTCGGCTCATGTTGAGGTGAAAGCGCAAAATCTCGCGCAGCGCTCGAACAGTCGTCCACGAAATTCGCCCCAACGAGGCAGCTGCTGAGCTCCAAATGATAGAGACGAGCCAAACACAGTCGTGTAGTGTGTAGTGAAGAGAAGCCAAGCGAAGAGCCGAGAGGAAAACACAAGCAGCAAGCAAAAAAAAAAAAAAAATAGAAAAATACAGAAAAATAGCAGGAAAAAGTCTGCTAAACGACTAGAGAATTAGCCAACAATATACGGTGTGTGCATTATATTTATTTATAACAAATTCCGTTTAGCGCGAAGCATTAAAAGGTGAACAAATACCAAAGATTTTTACAGTTACTAACAAGCTAACATACAAATTTAAGGCAAATTCCTAACGAAAAGAAAAAGAAACGAGAAACGTCGAAGAAGCATATGCAATGCTAAATAAAAAGCAACTACTAATCCAAAAGCGAATGCTGTGCCAAGTGTACAAATACTAATCGGTTACTTCCTCCTCCTATACGCAACGACGCACAACCAACACACGCACACGCACCCATACACACACACACTCGTCGCACAATCTCACACATTCGCACCTACTCCCGCACACCCACTGATTGATGATGACAACACAGCAGCAACTAGAGGCAGCGGCAGCAGCAGCAGCGTCGACCGAGTCGGCGGCAGCAGCAGCAGCAGCGGTGGACAACAGCAACACAGCCATGACAGCAGCAGCAACAACGACCACAACAAAATCGGGTGGCAACACGACGAAGCAAAGCAAGCATAGGTCGAGGTCATCCGCGCGGTACGATGACGTGGAAAGGCAGCAGCGCAAGAGTCGGGCCATCGTCTCCATACCGAACACCATCAAGCTGAGCATGCTGAACAGCGGCTTGTTGTCCTTTGAGCGCATCAAGCTGGAGGCGCGAGACGAGAACAACTCGCTGTCGAAGACCATACCGAACGGGCCCATCGATGTGCGGCATTTTCTGAAGCTGTGCGATCTGCGACGCAAATTTCCCGTGCTTTATAAGCTGGAATTTCAAACGGCCGCCAAGGTGGAGACGAACACCTGTCGGCATGCGCTCAAGAAGAATAATCTGGAGAAAAATCAGAATCCCAAGTGCATTCCATATGACTACAATCGTGTTGTGCTGCAAAAGCTGCCGGGTGTGCCCGACTCGGACTATGTGAATGCCTCCTATATTGACAGTCTGCTCAAGCCGAACGCCTACATTGTCACCCAGGGTCCCGTCGAGGAGACGGTGAATGCCTATTGGCGCATGGTGTGGCAGGAGAACATCAGCGCCATTGTCATGCTGACCAAGACCTTTGACTTTGCCAAGGTCATGTGCGTGCAGTACTGGCCGCCCAACATGGAGGTGCACGAAACCTACGGCGATATACACATCAATATTGTGAGAGAGGAGCAGCTGGCCAACTTTCACATACGCACCTTTCGCCTCTACAAGAAGAACGAACAGGGCGAGGTCACGGATGAGCGGCTGATACTGCAGTTCCATTATACGGAATGGTATTCCCATTCCTGCCCCTTCTCCAATGCCCTGCTCGAGTTCAGGCGCCGAGTGCGTCTCGTTGTGGGCAACATCATCAAGGATGGCGACGACGTGGAGATGCGTGGCCCCATTTTGGTGCACTGCAGCGATGGTGGTGGTCGCTCCGGCGTCTACATGTCCATCGATGCCAACTTGGAGCTGGCCGAGGAGGAGGAATGCTTCAATGTCTTTGGCTACCTCAAGAAGCTGCGGCAATCGCGCAAGGGTCTCGTCGAGAATGTGGAGCAGTACAAGTTCATCTATGACACGCTGGAGGAACACATCATATGCGGCAAGACCTGGTTTCCCGTCTCCGAGCTGTCCGATCGGCTCAAGGCCAAGGCACGTCGCAATTCCAGCACCAAGATGAACGAGTACCAGGCCGAATACGATCAGATCTGCAAGCAGACGCCACGATTTACGATCGGCGACTGTGCAGGCGGGCATCGAGCGGATAATCGGGAGAAGAATCGCGATGTACTCTGCGTACCGCCGGACAACTTTCGTCCGTATCTGACCAGTTTCCAGGGCAACGCCTTCACGGACTACATCAACTCGGTCTTTGTGGACGGCTATACCAAACCGCGCGAATACATTGTCACCGAGTGGCCCATGAAGCATACGCTGGGCGAGTTCTGGTCTCTGGTCTACGATCATGAGTGCTCTGCCGTGGTGGTGCTGTGTCAGCCGCCCTCGCAGTCCCAGCAGTATCCCTCGTTCTGGCCCAACAAATCCAAAATGGAGAAATACGGCCCGGTTTTCACCGTGCACTACGTGATGTCCAAGAGCTATACGAACATCAAGCAGTGGGAGTTCAAGATCAACAAGAAGATCGTCTCGCTGACCGAAATGATGGCGGGCGTCAAGGCGCCAACACGTACCGTCCAGCTGTTTCAGCTAACCTGCTGGCCCATGGGCCACAAGGTGCCGAGCTCAACCAATTCGCTGGTCTATCTAATGAATATGGTCGAGATCTGGCGCAATAAAGTCGACTACGGACCCGTCTGTGTTGTCTCGCCCGATGGTCGCAGCCGTGCCGGGGTTTACTGTGCGGCCAATGCGTGCATCGAGCAGGTCATACAGCACGGTGAGGTCGATGTCTTTCAGGCCGTCAAGACCGTGCGGCGACACCGTCCACAGCTGGTCGAGAATATGACCGAATATAAGTACTGCTACGATCTGGTGCTACACTATGTCCTGCACTTTCTCAACAAGAAAGATTGAGCGGTACTTTTTACAAGTTTCTTTCTTTTTTAACAGTTCGATGCCCGATTCTCAGGGGGGTTACAGATGTGCTAGTAATTCCTTTTCAAGCTCGAGCTACTTTTTCGGGATTCGAATCGACTCAAGAAGATTGACGACAGTTTTGAGGGATGAGAAACTAGCTCAACTGAACAAATCGAACTGCATTAAAATTTTTAAGGGTTCGAACTCTGCTCCTCAGTTTGAGCTGTGCTGGATTTTATTTCTGAAGTTTAACTTCATTGTGGGATCTTTTCGGATTGAGCGCAACTTATACGTTTTTTTTAAAGGAGTCGAACCTCACTTCTTCACTAAGTGTAGCGCCATCTGAACATTTTAGATTGGGCTGTACTCAAACCTATTTTAGGGACTCGAATCCGAATTCAAGTCTCACAATTAACTGTATGTCCAAGTGGTCCACATTTGATGCCTATTACATTTAACGTATGAATGTTGTATTTCTATAAAGCTGTATAGAGCTATAGGAATCGGGGCTAGAGTCGGCTTGGCACAGGCTGGAAGCAATAATACTGAGTATTTTTGTTGTGCACAACACAATATTTGGTTTGTGTTTTTATTGTCACAGGAAATGAAATTTCCAATTTACTTACTTTTCCTTTGTAGAATATATATAGTATATATCTACTTTATATATATAAATATTCAGTTTTGTGTAGGTCCCCAAGTTCCTAACTGGACCATAAGAATCAAATATATGGAAATCAAATGCAAAAGCTATATGATCTGAATCTGAACTGTATGTGCCATGTCTAATGCCCTAATTGTTGTTGTTATTACTATATATATAAATACATATACTATATGATGAAACTCTTGAACTATTACGATTAAATATGATTATGTTTACGATATATATATATGTACTTATGTTAACTCTTTAAACTTGCTACCTTATACAAATTGTTGATATATGTATATCTAATCTATACTACATACTATTTAAATTCACATATAATAGATACATATATAAATGTTATATTCTTGTAAAGAAAAGAGAGAAAGGAAAATGTTTTTAGGCTATCTACGGAATAAAAAGTGTGGAAAATGTATTTTTTATTCATGTTAAAACTAAATGTATGCAGAAATAAAAACATTTATTTTTTATTTATAATAACATGACAAACAACAAAGATCAAACTGGATACAAAACTAATATTGATTTACACTCACACCCACACATACACAGACACTCGCATATGTGTATGCATAGATACTCTCGTATATTTTCGCATTTATGCATTCGATGTAAGAAATATTTGTCTAGCGATGCATGCCCCAAAGCAAACAGAAACACACGCACACTTATATATTTATATACAATATATACATATATTCTTATATTCATGTAAATGTATTGAATTTATTTTTTTAAATGTGAATAAATGTGTATTTTGGAACGATTCCATACGAAACTTTAGAGTAGGTTACGAAAAACGGAGAAAAAAAAAAACGAAAAAAAAACTTAATTGAAATTGTTTTTATTTGTGCAGATAAAAATTCTTTATTTTCAGCTTTGAAAGCGAAACGTACGAATTCATATAAATAAATAACAGATTCAATTGAATGCAAAAATCTTGCCTATAGATTTTCCATTTATTTGAACCACACAAAAAAAAAAATCGTTTTTGCTTAGGTGCGAAAGAAAACAAAAACAAAACGAAAGCAAAATGTTTATTCTAATAGAAATTCAATGTGATGAATGAGTTGGCGAATGTGATGAGATCTTAGGGGCTTCATGGGTAGGTCCATTAGCTTTGTATCCAGCAAGCTGATAGCCTCTATGTGGCTTAAAGCACAACAATATTTTGTTTACATATCTCCGAGATCAATTATGCCATTTCTTAACCAGCATAGGATTCGAGAAATATTTAGCTCCATGTTGATGATTTTGTAGCATTATTTAAAAGAACTTAGTATAATGTTCCCTGTATATAAAGAATTTTGTATATCATGCAAAATTTGATTATTCAAAAATCTTGCAAATTCTGAAATAAATATTTACGATTTTCCGTTTTCTTCTGCCAATCACTTTTGCTCTTCAATAAACTGATTTGATTACCTATTATTCCATAGTCTCTTAATTTTCATATGTCAAAATCATTAAGTTTCCATCAGAATCACCGTAATTCTTTTACAATGCCATCGCTCGGGTCTTTGTTTGTCTTTTGATCTCTACATTCCAAAAGTGCGTCATAAACTGAAAATATCAATCAAAATATAAATTCATTTCATTTTTGCCGCGTTTATTGGAACGTAAATCGGGAAAAGCGAACAAAATTGCAGATGAGAGATAAACAAAACAAGATGCTCCACACAGTAATCGCAATGCAAAAAGAAAAAATATATATATTAAAAAAGAAAAAACCTTGACCAGATTACAGCTTAATGCGTACAAATCAAACAGAGGCCTCCATTATATAGATATCGCAGTGCGATAAGTCGAAAGTGTGGAAGGGGTTGAGCGAGGGGCGATGGAGAAGTGATGGTGGGCTGCAGGGCTCTGCAAGGTGTGGTCGCTATAAAATCGATATATGACAGCACAGCGCTCTTGCTTTAGCCCGCAATAAAATACAACAACACAGAGCCACAGAGCAATAATAGTAAAACTTGAGCATGAATGACATCAGCAAAAATATAATGTATAATGTATATATGTACATGTATTCACTATGGAAAAAGGAAAAACATTGCGCTAAAAGCAAATATTTTCATCTGTATTTGGCTGACTTTACTTGCACTTAGCTTGAGATAATTCATGTGATCATGGGGAAAAAGTATGAGAAAAGCATTTTTCTTTAAATTTATCTAACCTTGCAGCTTTTTGTCTATGGCTCCATAGCTCATTTTGTTAGAACTAATTAGTGGGAATATTGGTATATACATCAATTTCATATTATTTACTGAAAACGGACTCGTGCCTATGTATAGTATTTAAAGATCAGTTGGTTCCCCGACAAGGAACAAGGACAAGAGGATAGTCTTTTTAGCTTTATATTGTTCATATGAGATGATGAGATGATTTGGATGCTCTGGCAGTAGCTGCTGTCTCCCAGACATCAATTTAGTTTTAGGCAACATGTATATATGCTTATATAGTTATATGACTTCTGCATTATTATCTATGATTCGAAATACATATACAAGACCAAAAAGTATATCTGACACACTGCATATGACGCTAGACTATTTTAAAACATTTTTGTTTTCCTTTTGTAGTAGCCTCTACTATTTTGATGAACAATTCGACTTTGTTAGTTTTTGTGTTCTTCAACACATGCGATAAAAAACATCTAAATAAATGCAAGAATGTGTTATTCTTAATATTTGTTTTCTATTGTTTTCAACACAATGTGTTTATCATTCAATTTAGTTGCTGAGCATGTAGTGCTTAGTCCCTTAACTATTTGCATACAAATTGGGTATACTTTATTTAGACTACTTTTAATATACATAGGTAAATACTCATTAATAAATATCATACATTCATGGTATATGATTTTATTATATATGATTATTATACATTTAGAGCTATCTATCTTTCGACACTGAATATAGTATATTAGCTCGTCGACTATTTTCATGAAAATTACTTCGATTTGTTGTTGTCATGCGGCATGCTGAGATTATTTTTCGCCATAAACAAAATACAGGCACGCAAAATAAAGCAATTAGTTCTTTTTGGAAAATTTATTTATGAGCTATTAATACAAAACGAGCGCGTGGCAAATCCATTTGCTGCTGCTAAGAGGCGAGGGGCTGTGGGGCATATTGCGTGGGGGCGTGGGGGCGTTGCGGCATAGCTATTGAAATTAGTCACAGTTTTGCTGTTGGGAGCCGTTTTTAGTTTTAGTTAATTAAAAATTCAATGGCAATTAATTTTATGGAGTTGAGCGCTGACTACAATTTATGTCATATTAAGTTCCAGGGGGGTGGGGGCGGTTGCAAAAGCTAAATCCCAGCTTTTAATTGACTATTGTGCGGGTGCGTAGGGGATGGATATAGGAGTGTATGAGTGTGTTTATGTGTGTGTGTGTATAATCGTATATTGCAAAGGAAATTGTAATTCGAAATAAATTGTAATATTAGTAAAATGATATCGCTGCAGGTAAACTAATTTAATTTGTATAATGCACATACAAAGTATATAAATCAACAAAAATGTGCTTGAAGTATGCAAATGTTTAAAATGCAGGTTATACTATATATTATATATAATAGATATTTTCGACACATTTGAAACAAATTCTTTTGCTGCTTGCATCCCACTTTTATGAATAAATTGTATATGGGAGCGACATATATTTATGCACATTCTTTAAGATTTACAACAACAAGAAAATAAATAATGTGAGCTATTTAGCTCGTTCCAATTGCTTCCTGTCGTCTGCCTACAGCATTTTACATCAGAGGGTCGCATTCAATGTGGGCAACTTATGCATTGTTCATTTCCCAACTGCAAGCCCCCCCGTCCCAGCTCTCCCTTAGGGACTATTGCCACACAATTACCTGCTGCTGCTGTTGCTGTTGCTGTTGCAGCTGCCATGCCCCTATGGGCTTCCATTCACATAGCATTATTAGCCATTGTTTGAGGCATTTTGTAGCCCGTCGTCGTTGTTTGGCTAATTCAATTATGCAACGTCTACGTGAGTTTCAACTGTGTGGGACTGTTTGTCTTTGTAGGCGTGTGTATGTGTGTGGGCGTGTGTGTGCTTAGGTTTGTGTAAATGCAATTGAAGTAAAACAAGCACACACACACACACTCAGGTCCATTACACACCTGCCTGCACACACTTGTGCGCATTCAGTCACGAATTCAACTGTTCGCCGTCTTTTCTTTTGCATTTACAGCCAGCGAATGTTTACATAATAATAATTA